CTTGTCTGTTTTATGGCTAATGAAGATCTTCTCCCAATATGTCAGCTTTCTATTGATCTTGTTAGCTATGTCCTTTGCTATGCAGAAGCTCTGCAGTTTAATGCAATCCTATTTATCCAGCCTTCCTTTGATTTGTTGTGTTTCTGGATCTTTAGGAAGTTTCGACCTGTGTCAAGGAGCCCTAGTGTTTCCTCTATCCCTTCTGGTAGTATTTTCAGAGGATCTGCTCTTATGTTGAGGTCTTTGATCCATGTGGAGTTGATTCTGGGGCAGGGTGATATATAAGGATCTAACTAAAGTTTTCTACACATATATAGCCAAGTCTGCCAGAATCATTTGTTGAAGGAGCTGTCTTTCTTCCATCCTGTGTTTTTGGCTCCCTTATCAAAGATTAGGTGGCCATAGGTCTGTAGGTTCATTTCTGAGTGTTCAATTCTATTCCACTGGTCCTCAGGCCTGTTCATGAAGACACAGAATTTTTAATCTAGAAAAGCTTTAGGGTTTTTTAAATTCTGCTAGTAAGAAGTCAATAAGACTACATTTAGTACTGTTACCTCATAAATCATTACAATAATCCTGAAATGAATTTGGTAATTAGCAACTACTATATTAATTACTGAAGATATTTAAAACAAAGGATTTAAACTTTATTTCTGCAGACTGGGGCAAGGACAGTAAGAAATATGATAACTCAATAACACACAAAGCAACCTTTTTAACTCTTTAACTTTTTATCACTTCAAACATAGTGTTTGGAATTATCTGAAATGCCCCACTGATCTCTATACCTGAAATTTAATGATTTTAGAGATGATCTATTGGCCATGCTTAAAATTATGCCTTATTTCACTGTCATTTGCAGTTTTTTTCTTTCCACCACATCCTCCTTCACTTCCTCTGTGGATACTCCTGGGCCTTTAATTTATTCATGTGGACAAGGTGTTATTTGCTGGCATCTCTAATTCTATTATTCAGCCAAACATTTGTGAAGGTGCATACTGCTAAAGGAGCTGTGAATGATGGAGCATGGGTATGATATGGTGCCCTACCTTGAGCTTAGTGTCTGAACAAATTACCCAAGGTGTGGAGGAAATCCAACAATAAACCTAAAAAATATAATGCCCACTATACTGAGAATCTACTGAAAGGCTAGAAACCTTTTTTGCATCACCTAAGAAAAAAAAAAAGAAAAATCATTTCCAAAGTGTTTCTTTAAAAAACAGAAAAATAGGCACCAGTAGCTCATGCCTGTAATCCCGGCAAATTGAGAGGTTGAGATCTGAGGATCCAGTTCAAAGCCAGCCTGGGCAGAAAGCCTATGAGACTCTTATCTCCACTAAAGTATAAAAAAAGCCAGAAGTTGTGCTGTGTTTCAAGTGGTAGAGCACTAGCCTTGAGCAAAAAAGCTACAGGATAGCACCCAGGCCCTGAGTTCAAGCCTCAGAACTGGCACAGAAAGAAAGAAAAGAAAGGAGGAAGAAGGAAGGAACAAATGAAAGAAAGAAAGAGAGAGAGAGAGAAAGAGAGAGAGGAAGGAAGGAAGAAGGAAGGAAGGAAGGAAGGAAGGAAGGAAGGAAGGAAGGAAGGAAGAGAAAGAAAGAAAGAAAGAAGGAAGGAAGGAAAGAAAAGAAAGAAAGAAAGAAAAGTTACTGAGTGGTTGCTACACATCACACAAAAGTTCAATTTTTGCTCTTTGGAAGGCATGATTCCTGTACAATGCACTACATCTCCCTGGGTCTTAGTAGCCTTGGGATAATTAGTATAATAGATATGAGTTCCCTGTTGCTGCTGTAACAATGGAAATTTCTTATCTCACAGCTGTGGAGACTAGATCTCAAATGATAGATTTGGCAGTGCATGCACACTCTGAAACTTGTGGGGAAAGATAGCTGGTGATTTGCTGGCAACATATTGAAATAGAAGGCAACTGGACACCAGTATGACCTCATCTTAACTAGTGGCAGGTACAATGTCCCTATTGCCAAATAAAGCCACATTCTGAAGTCCTAAGAGTTAGGGCTTCAGAGGGTCCTGTTGGAGTGGACACAACTCAACTCCTAATAAATGCTAATCTCAGCCAGGCACTGGTGGCTCACACATGTCATCCTAGCTACTCAGGAGGCTGAGATCTGAGGGTCACAGTTTAAAGCCAGCAGGAGCAGGGAAGTCTATAAGACTAATCTCCAATTAGCCACCACAAAACTCGAAGTGGCGGTATGGCTCAAAGTGATAGAGCACTAGCCTTGAGCAGCAAAGCTCAGACAGCACCAGGCCTCATAACTGACCAAAACAATTTTTTTTTTGGGGGGGGGGGCCAGTCATGGGGCCTGAACTCTTGGGCCTGGGCGCTGTCTCTCAGCTCTTCAGCTCAAGGCTAGCACTCTACCACTTGAACCACAGCACCACTTCAGCTTTTTTCTTTTTGCTTATGTGGTGCTGAGGAATCGAACCCAGGGCCTCAGGCATGCAAGGCAAGCACTCTACCACTGAGCCACCTTTCCAGCCCCCAAAACAATTTTTTAAGAGCTAAACTGAAAAACTTCAACATTTTTAAATTGTTTAATTGCTGCTATAAAGGTGATATACAGAAGGGTGACCAGTACAAAAGTCAGATAAAGAGTTCATTTCTTTTTGGACAAAAATGTCACCCCTTCCCTCATTCTCTCCCAGTTTTCCCCTCCCATTCTCACCCATAAGCTGTATAGTTCATTTTCAACATAGTGTCTAGTGAGTATCACTGCTGCATTTGTTCACCCTTTGTCCCTCCATTTCTGTATCCCTCCTGACCCTCTGAAAGACAGATAAATGAACAAACAAACCAAAAACGAAAGGAGAGGAGAGGAGAGGAGAGGAGAGGAGAGGAGAGGGAAGGAGAGGGGAAGGGATGGGAGGGGAAGGAATGGGAGGGGAGGGGAGGGGAGGGGAGAGGAAGGGAGGGAAGGGGAGGAAGAAAATAGAAAAACAACAACAAAGAAAAAAAACTGCTTCCATTTCCTGAACATTTCTCACATTTTGAAATTTACTTTTATTTTCAATCTGTAGCCATGAAAAGACTGCTAGCCTGCAAAATCAAAGCATTGAAGAATTTCTGAGTTGTAATTTTGGAAAAGCCCATCACTACTTCAAAGTTTTTAAGTTACTTCCAAACAACTAAGTCTTTTCATTGGCTCAATGTGATAGTGGGTTATCAGAGATAGGGAGAATTTTTCATTGATAAAAGGGGATCTTCAACTTTAGCATTTTTTTAACAAAGCCCTCTTAGAAATAATTCATAAATAATAATGACTAAAGGAAAGTGTAACATTGTCCAACAAAAAGAAATGTACTCATGTACTCACTACCTGGCTTATTACCTTAATAATAAGAATAGACTTATTTTTAATAATAATAATAATGAATGTTGCTCACATTTATATAAAAAACTTGATTTGTTCCTAAGGAAGCAAGAAATGTTTGCTACCATTCCTTATTGGTTTATATAACACTTTTGCCATATACACATTGCTCCCAACCCATCTCTGTTCCTTTTCCTCAATTAAAACTTGCTTTCTAGCAAAATAACGGGACTGTTATTGAGGACACCACTGGACCTTCTGAAATACTTTTTTTTTTTTGTGGGGGGGGAAGGTCCGGTCGTAGGGCCTGAACTCTGGGTATGGTGCTGTCCCTCAGCTCTTCAGCTCAAGGCTAGCGCTCTACCACTTGAGCCACAGCGCCACTTCTGGCTTTTTTCTTTTTGCTTATGTGGTGCTGAGGAATTGAACCCAGGGCCTCAGGCATGCAAGGCAAGCGCTCTACCACTGAGCCACTTTCCCAGCCCCTTCTGAAATACTTGAAAGATTGTTAATCTAGGATGAGATGAAGTAGATAGTTTTTTTATTTTTTTAGAAATCCAACCAGGTTTTTCTTTCCTGTGCTCTGAGTACCACACATTCAGTTTTCATTTTTCAGCACTCCATGCTGATACGTGTTTTTAAAAGTCAGTCACCAATTGTCAGCCTCCGTGGGCCAGAGGATTGCCACCTTCTATAACTACTTCCTGCTGTCTGGTTCCTCTTGGGATCTACTCACTGGTAGATTCTGCCTTCAGCTTGCTTATCGGTTACAATCTACATTGTATTTACCAGCTAAGCATTGTCTATCCTTCCACCTGTCTACCCAGCACTGGTATGGCCACTGTCTCTGGATCTCCCTCAGACATCCCATTTCACATGTCACAACGTTACATTGTGACATTACTCACCAGGCATATGGCCTGAAGCATGAAGGCATTACTAGGTCTTGTCTAGAAGCTGGAGGCCTCTGTGCTCTTGTCTTTGCTGTCACATCTGTCCAGCACTGTGCTGCCCACTAGCATCTCCCTCATCCTAGTTCACTCAGCTGTCTGATCTTTTAGATCATTGGGATTACCTAAAAGGGAAGAGAAGTGAACTACCAATCAGTGTAAGGAATCATCCAACACTACTTCATCCTTCCTCCACCCTAGAGATCTGACCTAGAAGACCAGGAACAGGGAGAATGTTCTGACTCCTGTGAGAGGAAAACTTAAAACCTAAGAGAGGACGTGGGCCTGGTGCCAGTGTCTCATACCTGTAATCCTAGCTACTCAGAAGGCCGAGATCTGAGAATGGAGGTTCAAAGCCAGCCCAGGCTGGAATGTCCATGAGATTCTTATCTCCAATTAACCACTAGAAAACCAAAAGCGGAGCTGTGGCTCAAAATAGTAGAGCACTGGCCTTGAGCAAGGGAGCTCAACACCCAGCACCCAGGCCTCGAATTCAAACCTCACAACCAACAAAAAGGGGAGGGGACGGGAAGTTTTTGGTGGTCAAATATCTTAAGCTTTGTTTGTCAACCTCTGTACCACAATAATGCCAGCTCTGACCTAACCTCAGACATCACATTTCTCCTAATTAAATACGCTTACATAAAGGCGATGTGCTATGAACACTTTGTAAAAGGTACACAGATATTTTATAGTCAAAATGAAAAGTACACAGATAATATAGACCTTTAATTTTTATTGATAAGTCATGATTTCCTATTGAGTTACATAATAGAGTACAAATAATCATATAAGATTCCAACATTTAAAATAAAAGCATTCATCACTTTGATTAATATATTAAAGCTTTGGTTCCTGAATGTTTGATTTTGACAGAATTCTCCTGCTATGCTACACAAAACAACTTCCTGTGTTTAAGAGATCTGCCTCACCATACCCACCACAAGTCAAGCACAGAGGTTTTAAACATCAAAATCAAGTACTATCTCAAAACTATCAAAAGTAAATCTTAAAAATTAAAAAAAAGAACTCTGAACTTCCCTCTACCAATAATTCAGTATACTGGGCAGAAAATCTTAGCCTCTCAACAAGAAATGGAAAGATTCATAAATGCATATAAAAATGCATATATTACTCCTATGTCAGAACCAGGCATATGCATGTGTAAATATCCTCTGAAGTGGAAAACTCACAAAACCATCCAGCAAGTATTTGTTCTGTTGTACTACAATGGAAATGAAAATGGCCATGCATTTTTTACACTGATAACATTATGGCACTGTCTTTTGCCAAGGTAAAACAAAACAGAGCTCCCTGCCCACAATAGTTTTCAAACAAGTCTATTCTCACTGACATATACTTCATTGAAAAGCTTTGGCTTAATTTATTGAAAAACAGTAATGGATCTCTATTCAAAGTAGTGATTTTTAAAAAATAATCTTAATCTATACTTCAACATGTTCCACATATGTACAATAAGCTACTTAATATTAACATAAATATCATTTGATTAGATGACAGGAAAAATAAGCTGTTCTTCAAAGTGCCTTACTTTACTGGAATTTGAAAAAAAAGAAAATGAGCATAGTAATCTGTCCATTAACAATTTCTACTAAAAATGTAAAAGGCTCTAAACTGTACCCAATGGTGTGTCCACTTACTGTGTCTTAAATTTACAATGTGTGCCTGAACACTGGTGACTCACACCTGTAGTACATTCTACTTGAAAAGCAGAGATCTGAGGATCAAGGTTCAAATCCAAGCTGGAGAGGAAAATCTAGGAGATTCTTATCTCCAATTATTCAGCAAAAAGCCATAAATAGAGCTGTGGCTCAAGTGTTAGAGGACCAGTCTTGAGCAAAAACAAGCTAAGGGGCAACATCCAGGCTCTGAGTTCAAGTACTAGCACAAAAAAAATATTACAATATGCAAGAAATGATACATCCAGGAATATGTAATGGCACATATTCCACCTTAACCCACCATGTTCACTTGGCAGGCTAAACATTATCACCTTAAGTTGAGAAGTCTTGCCAAGGAAGTATTTATAACACACTCTTATGGAAGTCAGTATTCAATAGCTCAACAAAGAAAATTAGAAAAGGGAAAGTTACAAAGAACTCCAGATTATGTGTCAACAGTTGATCAAAGGGCTCTTTTTTAAAAAATGGGGAAAAAGCCCATCTCTTAAATGTCATGGATCAGTCCAAAACATCAAATGAAATAATTGAACTGTTTCAAAATAAAGATAATTATATGCCAGACTGTTCATAACTATATTTAGCATAAGCATAAATAGGAAGTAGATAAGACTTTTAAGAAAACAGTCATGCAGGGCACTGGTGGCTCACACATGTAATCCTAGCTATCCAGAAGGCTAAGATCTGAGGATCATGATTCAAAGCCAGCCTGGGCAAAAAAAAAAAAAAAAAGTCCATAAAACTCTTATTTCTGATAACTACCAAAGAGCTGGAAGTGGAGCTGTATCTCCAGTGGTAAACACCAGCCTTGAGTAGAAAAAGCTCAGGGACAGAGCACACAAACAAAAAAAAATCATTCAAAAGTTTAAGCCTCAGAACTGACAAGAAAAACAAAAATCACTCAAAAGTCTAGGAGCATGGGAAATTATTCATTGCATATGTAAGTAAGAAATTCCTATGTAATAATGATACATCTATAGTCTATTCAAATACAATGTTCCTATTATAGCATAATTAAAATACTAAACCAAAGATAAGACTTTTAGGATATTTTGAAAAGCACAATGCTATGCAACAAATAATAAAAAGAAATATGTTAATAAACTTTATTTCATTATAGGAATCATAACTATGATAATAAGATAATGAGTCCAAATATAAAGGTATCATTTTGTTGTAAAGTTGTGGAGTATGCCTGGTGTGTGTGTGTGTGCACACCAGTCCTGGGATTTGAACTCAGGGACTGGGCTGTTCCAGTCTACCACCTGAACCACAGTTCTACTTCCAGCTTTTTCTGAGTATTTTATTGGAGATAAAAGTCTCACAGGGGCTGGGAAGGTGGCTCAGTTGTAGAGCGCTTGCCTTGCATGCAAGAGGCCCTGGGTTGGATTCCTCAGCACCACCTAAGCAGAAAAAAAAAAAAAAAGCCAGAAGTGGCACTGTGGCTCAAGTGGTAGAGCACTAGTCTTGAGCTGAAGAGCTGAGGAACAGCGCCCAGGCCCAGAGTTCAGGCCCCACGACCGGACCCCAAAAAAATGTCTCACAGACTTTTCTGCCTGGGCTGGCTGACAACTACAGTCCTCGGATCTCAGCTTCCTGAGTAGCTAGGATTACACCCATGAGCTACCAGCACCCCACTCTGAAGAACTGATTATTCCCAACACTCAGTCTATGAAACCACCAGAGAGTCAAAAATCAGAACTGTTAAGGGCTGGGTTCTTAACAGAATTCCCAGGCAGTGAAGAAGGAAGGGCATAAAATTAGTTCATGGCAATATGTACAACTATGGACAGGTTTCAGCATGAGGAAACATAATGAGTTTTTTAGTAGTATTTCTCATAGCATGGAATGAATATAATCTACACTATTCATTATGATTATTACTCCAAGTTCTCACTCCCATAGTCTTTTAATCACTTCTACTACAAACCCCCTGCTTATGTCAGAATAAATCTGCTAAGACATGAAACAGGAAGACACCAGCACAACTTCCACAGCCCTGTCCACTTCCAGGCAGGGTCACAAAGCTTCTTTCCTTCTCCACTGCCTCTTCTCAACTGCTAATAGATTTATAGTCAGAATTGAGTCACTACCATTTAACCTGAAAATCTAAAGAACTTTATGAAGAAGTATGTGTGTACATAAAAATCTGTTTGCTGTTTGTGGTCTTGAGGATCAGAGAACAAATCCAGCGCTTCCCTGAACATGCCTGGCAAATCTCTACCTTTATACTTCACTTTTATTTTAGTCCCAGTCCTGGGGCTTGAACTGTCCCTGAGCTGTTTTGCTCAAGTCTAGCACTTGCACCACACCTCCATTTTTGGCATTTTGCTGGTTCATTGACAGTTAAGAGTCTCAAGGACTTTCCTGCCCAGGCTGGCTTGAGATCCTCAGATCTCAACCTTCTGAGCAGCTAGGATTACAGGTGTGAGCCACCAGCACCCAACTGAATTCTACTTTTTAAATAAGTTATGATTTAACATAGAGACAGTCTATCTTCTAGTAGTCTTTCCTTTCTAGCCAGTTTATTTAGTGTAGAATATAAGTTACTCGGAGTCAGTACAAGTTTCTCTAGGCAGTAATATCAAGATGCTGCCCTAACTTCATTATGAGTACACTTCTGGAAGAAATCCTAGAGGTTTCTTTAATAAAACCCACAGATGTAGGAACAGTAGATACATAGGGTTAATTATATATTCCTTTGGAGAATGGTGTTTGCATGCTATTTTTACACTGTTCCTTTTTTCTTTTACTATAATTTCAACAAGTTTCTAAGTCAATGAAGGTATAAAAGAGAGAGAGAGAGAGGGAGGGGGAGAGAGAGAGAGAAAGAGAGAAAGAGAGAGAGAGAGAGAGAGAGAGAGGGGTAGGGGGGAGGGAAGGGAAGAAAGAAAAATAGAAAAGGCCAAGAGCCTGGTGCTGGTGGCTCACACCTGTAATCCTAGTTACTCAGGAGGTTAAGATCTGAATAACACACATCAAAGGCAGCTGGGCAGGAAAGGCCATGAGACTTCTATCCCCAATTAACCAACAGAAAACTGGAAGTAGCACTGTGGCTCAAAGTAGTAGAGCACTAGCCTAGAGCAAAGAAAGCTCAGGGACAGTTCCCAGGCCTGACTTCAAGCCCCACAACTGACCAAAAAGAAAGGCCAAGACATCAACACAGGAAGGCCCAAATGTAATAACTGCTTTTGTTTCTAGGACAGACTGGTTCTAAGGTATAAGAGTGGACAACATTTCTTCACTTGAAAATAGAAATTTTAAATTTTTTCTTTAATATCTAGCCACTCTCTTTACAGATCACCTCTGGGAGTCTGTTGACTACCTTAACAGGATATAAACATTAAAATAATTATTTGAAGCTGGGAGCTAGTGGCTCATGCCTGTAATCGTAGCTACTCAAGAGGTTTAAATCTGAGACTCATGGTTCAAAGACAGCCCTGGCAGGAAAGTTGTGAGATTCCTATCTACAATTAACCACCAAAAAATCAGACATGGAACTGTGGCTCAATAGAAGAGCAGTAACCTTGAGCAAAAAAAAGCTCAAGGACAGCACCCAGGCCCTGAGTTCAAGTCCCAGGATCAGTACAAAAAAAAATTAAAATGATTTGATCTCTCCTCCCTTGGTAACAAAAATATCTGTAAGTGGTACATAAATATCCACTCCACTATAATTTTTTAAAAACTCACAAAATAACAGCATTCTTTCTTAATTGATTGTAAAAGATATATTTGTATATATTGCTTTGATAGATTTAGTTTTACATTGCTGAAAATAATATAAAGCCATTTCTTTGACGCCTATGGCAATTATTTTTCCATGTCTATTTAGACAAAAAGCCATAGAGTTAAGGGGGAAAATTAACCCATTTCTTGGCTTTTAAAGAGCCTTAATTTTTTCATATATCAAAAATATATCAGCCTGGCTTACACTTACAATCCTAGGTACTCAAGAGGCTGAGATCTGAGGATCAAAGTTCAAAGTCAGCCTAGGCAGCCAAAGCTGTGAGATTCTCATCTCCAATTAACCAGCAAAATGCCAGAAGTGGAGGTGTGGCTCAAATGAGTGCCAGCCTTGAGTAGAAAAGAGAAGGGAGAGCTCCCTGGCCCTAAGTTCAAGCCCTAATACTGGCACCCGTGCATGCGTGTGCATGCACGCACACTCGCGCGCGCACACACACACACACACACACACTCTCAATATAATCTGAAGAGTAAAAAGAAAGGGATAAAGACAAGAAAAGAAAGACGAGAAGAATGGAAAGAACAAGAAAAGATTTGTTTTTAAAATTCTCACCCAGATAAGTGACTGTTCCCCTTCAGAATAAGAACAACCATGATCCAGGTGTTTAGATTTAGGGAATCTTCTTAAAAGATTCACAGCAAGCACTAAATGTCACTAGACAACTGGGTGTCTGATGCCCAGACCCTGAGGTCTGGAACATGTGTAGAACCCTAGCCAACACCATAAGTCTTCAGTTCAGTCATGGACAAGACTCTCCCTGCCCAGTCAGCCTCCACTTCCTTCCCAGATCACAGCGAAGTGGAGCTGCTGAGGTTTGTGAAGCATCTCTTGTAGGCCTGGGCCACAATGAATCCTGGCTTGGGTTCTCCTGGTCCCAGTCACATAAGGCACATACATCTTTCATTGCTCTTGTATCTCAGTCCTGAAACACAGCTGGTGTTGGGAAGCTGAGCATGTGCAAAGGAGAGACTGTCCAGTTCCCATGAGGACAGTTTTCAGTGAGTCCTCACCTTCTTAGCTAGGACAAGTTGCTCCAGAACAAAAAGAGAAGGAGGGTAAAAGCTGGGTATATGATCAGTGGAGTGGGGAAGAAGACCATTTCACTTTGTAATTCACCATCTATAGTCTCTAAAAAGAAAGAAGCAATGTCCATTAAGGAAGATCCACTGAGTTGATCCATAGGGAGATGGTAGGCAGCAGGCTAGGTTGAAGGTTGAAGCTGCTCCCACTGTTTCCTTGGGGAAACCCAGCTTTCATACTAAAGCAAAGTACAACAGTCTTTAAACACCTAGATCATGTCTTTTACAAAAAGCAAAGAATCTAAAATAATTTTATTCTTAAGACAACCAACATTTCCCAGCCCTCCCCTCAAAAAAAATAGTCCTAAAAGATTTGAAGAGGGAGAAATAAAAATATATGACTGTAATCATCTGATTTTCTTCCACACAATGATTGGATGGCAAAAAGCAAAATCTATGCAACACGACAAATGAGGACTTGTTGTGGAAACCCTATCCCATGGAAAAAGCAAGTGTTTCTCACAATAATCAGAGGCAGGAATCAATTATGAAAGCCAAAACAATCCCATGTGATGTCTGGAAATGTTAAGTTTTACACTGAGTTCTTAGACAATCAGTCACAGCCAATAAGATAAAGAGAAGAGAAGCATGGAGGAGAAAAGGAAGAGGACCGGAGAATGACCAGGGCAACCGGAAGTCTTCGCACAGCCATCACAGCCCTCCGAGTCTCCACAAATGTCACAGTAAGCCAGCTTTACTTTGGAGTTGTAACTTCTCACCGCGTGCCTCCCTGTTCAAAGGGCACACATCAGTTTACATCCTTCATTCAGAAACACTGGTTTTACCAAAATACAAGAGCAACTCCATACATTCATGTGAATTTTCCTTTTTTCTTTAGACAATTTTATTTTTAATTTTTTTTTTTTTTGCCTTACAAGAAACAACTGACATGCCCAAGAGAGACCCAAATTACAAACCAAACCCAAGAACAAAAAAAACAGTGCGTTCAGTCCAACATATCTCCACCAGTGGCTGGCCAACAAATAGACTATAGTGGCTCTCTGCCTGTGAACTCTACTCTCTTACTGGAATAAGATCATTTTTAAATTGAGAATTGTTTTTAACTTCCTCAAAGGTTTATTTTAGGATGACATTTTCTGTGCATTCAAATCAAATTCTTATCATTACATTACAGAAAATAGATATATCATAACTCTGTGTGTGTATATGCGTGTGTGTGTGCGTGCGTGTGTGTGTGTGTGTGTGTGTGTGTGTGTGTGTGTGTGTGTGTGTGTGTGTGTGTGTGAATCCTGAGGCTTGAACTTAGGGTCCAGGCTCTGTCCCTGAGCTCTTGTGCTTAAGGCTAGTGCTCTACAACTTGAGCCACAGCCCCATTTCTGACTTTTTGGTAGTTAACTGGAAATAAGAGTCTCATA